ATGAAGGGTACATGTCAGTTCTATATGTAGTGATATATTAATTGAAACGATCTTGTTATTCCATATGATTAAAGAGCCGGATAAAGAAAACTTAAGACGTTCCGCTCAATAGTGTATGCGTTACATGTGCATTCCTTGGCACAATGTGTTTCCGCGTAGATTACGTGTGGATAATTTTTCTGTATGGTTGCTAAATGTGGCATCCCTCCGGGTCATGTTTAAGCACCTTGTCCTTAATTAGGTGCAATATGTATGTTCATACACATATGCTTAGATGAAGATACCATTACTGTTATCTTATAATAAATTTGTTTCTTCGCTGCTCGTGTTGCACAATATGCTCCAATATTTTCCTATTATTTTAGCATATGCATCTGTATATTTCCTGGCTTACCCAAAAATGTTACGGTGAATCTAGGTTTCAGAAACATATAATTAATAATTTTTTCGTACGCACAATACAAGAGGTGTATCCTTTATGGCAAATGTTCCTCTATTGTTTTACTTCACTAGTTATTTATAAAGGACTGAGAGCACTATTATGAGTGACATTCTATTTCCAGAAAATTCCTAAATTAGCTATCAAGGGAAGCACAGTTCGTGGTATATATAGATAATACTACTCCTACTACTAATATTACATATGATCCCATGAATCATTTGTGAGCTAAGCAACTTGGCTTGGCATTTTTTCAGCAAGTATAAGAAAGGATCAGAGATTTATTCTCTTTGGAGTTGTGGAAATATGTTAAATGTGATTTCTTATATACTTTTCGTAGTACAAAAATAAGTTAGCATAACAGTTATGTGATTTCTTTTTAAATATGTACATATATTTCTTTTATGAAAGTTCTTTTTTTTATTACCTTATTATATGGTATTCTTTCGTTAGCTTCTAAGACTTGACCCGTTGGGGTAACTTCCCCTTATGTGACTCCATTTTTATGTCTCATCACGAGAATGTCATTTCATTCATTTTCGATATTTCTAAACAAAAACCGCATTCTCTGTTTTTTACTCTTATTAAATATTTTATTTCTGCGATCTGTGAGAACTTTATGCTACATTTACAGAACCTATTCTGTTCATGTTATGACTATTACATTAATTATTACACAGGTATTTTATTCCTATTTCACTTCAAGGTGGGTTTTATTAAGAATATAAATACTATTTAAATTATTCCATGTTAGAAGTGGAAAAATAATCATCATTTTTGGACATTTGTTAGTTTTTTTTTTTTGGTAGGTGTTTACCCTTCTTTAAGGTAGTTCATAGAAAATTATTCTTTAACTTTTTTAGGTTTCACTACACCAAAAGGTTGGGAGAATGCGAAATTCTGCGTAGTTTGTGGTGAATTCATTCTTCTCTTCATAGCCCTAGGGTACATTCAGTGTCTATCTTGATTTCACCGATATATGAACACATATATGTGATTATATATAGTTTATGTCGTTTAGACGCTTTATTAAGTTCGGTGGGTACCAAATTCTTATCGGGGGCCCGAAGGGTCTGTCCTTCATATACTTCTTAATTCGAAAAAGGTAAAACATCGCGAAAAGGCCGATACGATTTTGTGGGAAGATGCGGAAACGTAGGCATGATATGCGGAGAGAATAATATTCTTTAGGAGACATATATAACTTCATTTTATATATGTCGTACTTTTCTGTGTGTACTGGAGTAAAATAAATGTGGCAACTAATACAAGCGTTCTTATTTTTTCCTTTTCATTGAAGTGGTTTGTCCCCTAAACTGTTTTTTATTTCGTCACATACAGGATTATATATAGGTATGTAAAGTATACACTTCTTCTTATAGAATGGATTATTCTAGCAGACTATAACTCTCAATGCATCCGGCAAAGTCTTTCTCTTTTTTTTCTTCATAAGCTTCAACACATAGAAAAACTTGTCTGGTATGTACAATTCCACAATTCTAATTTATTTTCTGGTGGCCCCTTTTTCACATTAATATGAACACAAATATACAGATGGAAAAAGGACCTGATTAAAGTATGATGCCTTTTATATTATTCACTTTCCATCCATTATTTTGGAGAGGACAATAATACACATATAAATACCATTCTTGAAATTAAACATGTAATTGTAATCGCATGTGGGCAATTTCAACTGTGTGCTTTTACTTATGTTATATAATGGAACAGAACAGAATTATGTTATAGATGTGCATAAGATTCCTGTCAAAGTGATCGTTCGTAAGGGAATACCTCGTGGACTTTGTTAAATGTTGCAATTCGATTATAACGCTATTTCCTAAGCAATAAGTGAACTAGTTAATATCTTCATTTTGACAAGAAAGTCCTTTAATTTGTACTGGGGATAACAGGGATGTGTACTTCTATTTTAATGACGCACGATTTTGGCGGAATCTAAAATTCTTTCTTTTTTTTCATATATTACTAGAAGTAGGAACCAGTGGAAGTTTTTAAAATATCGCACGTAAAGCTATTTAACAGGAGTTATTTTTTAAGTAGCAGGGAAACCCCAGTAATTATCAAGTATTGTAGTAAAAATTCCGTAATCTGAGCGATGCTCTAAGTGAATTAAATGATATTTCCTCTAATTTTATTCTTTCCCTAACTTTGTAAACGAGTCACGAGGCAAATATTGGTTGATTTAAAATTATGATTATATGTGGCAAAATGATGCAATGCAAAGGAGAAAGGAAAAGTATAAATGTTTCCATACTAGGATAGGAGGAAACCTTTTTCTAGTATGATCTTCTATTGTACGCTTTAATAATGCGGATACCTAAAAAAAAGGCTATGAGTTTTTAATATTTCACGCAGAATTTTCCAAAATACTGTATTATTCTTTCCACCACATCAACTTTCTTAGCTCGCAAAAAAAGTACGTAAAATGTAACTGCAGAGAAAGACGACTCTCCATGTCCAACTTTCCCTATAACTAGAAAAGAATAACAATTTCTGCAAAGAGGAAGATTATTGTATAAGGAAAGCAACAGTCCTCTGATTAAAGACCGGCCTATTATATATATTATGCCTTATAAGCGTCTTCATTAATTAATTAAGAATGGTGAAAAGAAAAGAGAAGGAAGAAGAAAAATGCTTTCATGGGAGAAATATTATAGTTAAGGAAAAGGACGGAGGAAACGGAAGACTAGAAATAAAAAAAAAGAAAAAAGGAAGCCCTTTATAAATACGAATCTGTTACCTTTTATAGAGATTTACTGCCTTAATCTTCTGGTACGTAGAAATATGTGGCCCAAAGGGTGAAGTTGGTAATTTGCCTACAGGCATTTTTCACTGGAAGAATAATTCTACAGAAATATTCGAATTTGCATTCTTTAATTTTACCCTGCATGATATGCGAATTGATATATCATGGTTTTTTAGATATAATTCAAATTATTTTTTATGCCACCAATGAGGTTCATAAATAACCCCTGTTGTTTATTACCAAATATATAACACCGCAATGATTAAAATAGTCCTTCCCTTAATTTTCAGGAATGTATTATTATTACACCTAGTTAATGAGAAAATATTAAGAAAGACAAAATATATACATATATTACTCCTGTATTGCGAAGTATAAATTGTAAGGATGCATGCATGAAGATATTAAAAAATTATTTCGGCCTCGTTCTAGCTCTCACGCATTTCTTCTTATTTCGTTTTTCGAATAAATTTTCCGAAAAATGACATACACTCCGGAAATAAAACAGAGTAATAAACTTTTGTATAAATTTCATAGAAGTAATAAATGGAAGAAAACTAAATTATTGCATAAAATTAATCTGAACAGGATTGTATCATAGAATATAATCATCCTACCAAAAACTAAAGGAAAGGAAGTGCATTAAATTGGAAAATAATTTCTTCTTTCATTCTGTACGGATATCGTTATTATCTTCTTATTTTAACTTTTATTACAAGAACCTTGCGTTCGTTGCATGACGGGATAATATAGATAACTAATAACTTTTTTTTTCCCCATTTTTTCTCCAATTTTATTCCATTGGAAGTTAACGAAAAAATGCGACTCTGAATATATATCGCAAGAAATAATTTAATTTTGTATTTCTTTTAATAAGAAAAATTGTACATAAGGAACAGTTTTAAAAAATTATTCCCTCTATAAGTATTGATCATTATCCGCAAATTTTCTACAGATCATTTTTAATTAAATTTCTTCCATTGTTTCGGCTTATTTGTAATATATTGATCTTATCTATGTATTATAAGTCCCCCAGTTGCCAAACTGTACATAGGAATGCATACAGTAGTATATTTTCTCTCCTTAAGAATTTTTCACTCATTCTAAATTATCAAATACCGAATAAATAAAGCGTTCACAAATTTATATTATTTCAAAATGAGTGGATTATACAAGATTTTGTGTTTAACCGGCACCCTCTATATTTTATCCTGCACTTTTCCTTATTCTGGCGTTTCTGCGGCTGTACGATAAAAAATGAGAAAAAGATACTTATAAATTAAACATGCTAAGACTGTTAACAATAATAATCGTCAATCGTTACTAGTTTAGGGCAAGGAAGATGCATCGAAGTATACGAGTATACATATGCATACCTATATCCCTTTATGTCTATAATATTTTTCTGGTAAAAACGTTCCTTTTCAGGAAAATGAGGATGAGATAAACCTGAACACACTGCTTCCAGGCAGCCTAGAAGAATTAGATAAAGAAGGAGTATACTGCATATCCGAATGGAAGGAGAAAAAATGGTCCGAATTTATGAAATCAATAGAAAAGGGTTTTAAGGGATTCATGGTTTATTTGGAAAAGGAGAAAAACAGCTGGCTAGAAGGTAGGAATAAACTCTGGGAAGAATGGAAGGTAAATATGGAAAAGAAATGGGATCACTATGACGAAATCACCTTCAAAGAATTATTGTCCACTAAAGCAGATGATGCATTAAAATGGACTGACAAGGAATGGACAGATTGGGTAAACAAATATGGAAGAATAGCATGGACAGGAGCTTGGAAGGAATGGGTTAATGAGCAAGATTTAATTTTCAAGCAGGGTATTGAAAGGGATTGGAATAATTGGACTGATTTCCAAGAGAATAAATTTGGATCAATCCAATGGAAATTTCTTGAAACTTTCGGCTGGAAATACTGGAAGAATCATGCAGACCCTGATGACCCGTTATTTCCCATAAAGATGGAAAAAATGAACAAATGGCAAGACAGAGTTAAGAAGGAAGAAGAAGAATGGTCAAAGTGGTTAGAAGAAAAACGAACAGAACATATTGATGTAGAATGGGATAAGTGGGTGGAATGGAAAAAGGAGAATAACAAGAAGTTTATTGATTGGATGGAAGCCTTCGTTGAAAAATGGATAAACAATAAACAGTGGACAGTATGGATTGAAGAAAAGAAGGGTCCTGTTACAATTTAGTGCTAATAGCTAAATAAGGGACGTCATCGAATAGTAACTGTGTGGAAGACCTATATACGGCTGCATATGAACCTATAGGACAAAATCAACAAACAACAGTTGAGACGCCATTACTATTACGGAGCTCAGAGAAATGAAAGTTGCGATGTAGAAATACCGATAGGACAAACAAAATGCATCGAAGGGGGAAAGTATTGGAGAACTTCTTCTCTTATTTTTATGAAGGAAAATTGTACAATTTTGTATTAGACATGTATGCACTTAAATTTATACTCGTACCCAGTGTGTTTTTTTTTCTCTTGTCCTCTTTTTTTTCAAATAATGAATTTTCGCACGTGTGTTCTTTGTTATTTATATGGAATATAATTTTAAACAACATAAAATATCTATCGTTTGTGTATTGCAAAGTTATATATCTTAGATATTATTTACAAGGAACGGTGTTTATATGTCACTATAATGTCGTGTGTATGAATTTTATAGAAATACTTTTCTCTTTCACTTCCTAAATTTTATTCGCATACGAAGGCAGGAAGGATGCAATCGTTAGCTTGGGTAAATTATTAAATAATTTGGTTCACTATGAGAAATATATTACATGAAATTATATCATTAATAAAATCAAGAGTGCACTAGAACATTTGTTCTCATGAAATTTCGGGTTCACTTCCTAAATAAAAGTAAGAAGAAATAATTGAACCAGTGCACTATACAGGCCTTTTTTTATTTATAAGATTCGGTTTCTACTTACATATATTTTATATTCGTCTCGTTTCTGTCTTTTGTTTCTTATACCATTCTAATTTTATTCACAGGGTTTACATACTGGACAGCATCCAGATAGGGATGATTCTTTTACCTTACCTGTTATATCTCAGATGACACCAACAGTCTAGTTTATTCATGAAGGGATCAATTTTACATTTCACCCTTACGTTTCGTTGGGCATTTTTATATTTTACAGCTTACTGTAACTGAATCCATTTGATTATGGTTATGTGAGAATCCATAGAATGAAATTTCTTCTGTTTACGTGTGTATATGAATTGGCGTGGTCCAATTTTCTTGGATGCTTTCCTTTTTTTTATTTTTCTTTAATAATATTACCTCCTTGTTATAATTCATACGTTCTTCATATTTTAACACAGGTACTGATGTGTTCTTGATGTTAACTCAAAAAACACACGTCCATTCGAATTGCTGCTAATTCTGACGTTGAATTCATTATATTAGTTGGCTCCAAATGAGTTATCTATGTGTGCTTCTTGGAAAAAGGAATTTCTTTCCCCTCTTTGTATTTCTTTTGTCCAAAAAAGAAAAAAAAAAAAATTTCACTGTTAATATAAAAATAACCATATTAAATAATTATTTTGGCTTCTGAATTTAAGACAATAGATGCAACTTTAACGAGTCATAAAATTTTTTTACACACAGCAAGTTTGTTGACAGAAGACATTTTTTACGGAGTACTTCTATTTAAAATATGTACATAGCATAGATGACTATCTGTTACTCCACCGGAGTGAACTCTAAGTCAAGTAAATGATTTTTTTAAGTATCACAAAATTTAATTCCTTATATTTCATACTTATCTCTGTTACGCACTTCAAGAAAGAATGGACGCAAATTTCAATACGTCCTTGCAATATACCTTATATGTTCCCTACTCATATAATATCATTGCTGAATCAGATGAATCAGGAATAACATTCGTATTAATGAGATAATTATAAATGCCTTGTTACAATAAAAAAAAATATAACATCACCATTGTAGGCAGCATAAGGGGCAGTAGTTAAAATTCGGAATAAATTCAAAAGAATGAGTAAAGAGGTACAGGAAAGTAAGAATTACACCATGATCGAATAGAAGACAGAACGGTGTAAATATTGTAAGGATGAATTATCCATGAATTCAGAAAGAAACAATTAATTACTAAAAACCAGTTTGCATAACAAAGAGAAAGTATATTCATACAAGAGTAAAAATAAACACCTGTAACTAATGAACGTTACGTCTATTGCAGGGAAATTCCATTAATGTGTTCGATAGTGTCATTTCGTGTAGAATGGCACTACAATTTTCCCCATGTTTAGGGCACACAATATTAACTAATTGTTTTCCATGAAGCTCCTTTTTCGTGGTTCTTGCTAGATCGTAATTATCTTCACATTTTGCAGTTATGTATTTGATTTGTACAGCGCGACATAATGGCTGTTGTTATAATACATTTAATGTGGGAAAAAGAAGAAATTATAATCGATGAATGCTGGCTAATTTGGCAAATAACGGTACACTTAAGTTGGGGTAAAAAATGAGCGTATTTTGTTTTCTTTATTCAAGGAGTTAGCATAATCTATATGTATATCTCTTTTTAATGTAAAAAAGACAAATATGGAAACAAGTAGACCTAGCAAAAACCCTGTGTCCGAAGATGATACTTCCATACTAAGAGAAAAGAAAGAAGAGAGATGAATCATCGCGTGCTAAGGGAAGCAGTGTCCCATATGTGTCTTATCTACATTTATTCCTTTCTTGACATCCAAGAATGCTGTTTCGTGCACTTCCACCATAGTGGGACTGATAAAGATACAGGGGAATATGTCTATGTACTTTTGATTTAGTTTTACTCATTTGAATTATAATAACAACTGCGTTAATGCTTATAAACTCAGGGTAGCCTCCACTTGTAGAAAACCCCCATGCTGTGGATAAGCCGGTTTCCTAGGTACCACTGGTTGAAGGAGCGCTCGAACAGAATGAAGAATTGAAAAGGTCCACTTGGGATAATTGGAACATAAGATTACAGTAAGTTTTCAATCAATTCTATTCCTTTCCGAAGAAGGAAAAAAACGAATGGCTTGACCAGATAAAAGAGGAATGAGGAAAATTGATACAATAAATAGAAAATAAATAAACGACTGATAAAGAAGTTTTTGACAATAGCGAAAACTGAGCTAATATTCTGAAACCGTCATCAACATAGAGTTATTCCCAGTGCGCACAGGGGATTACAACATAAAGCAGTCACCTTATGGGAGTTGAATGTGAAGTTTGGGTTAATGATTCCTTCTTTAATGAAGTGAGTATAAAAAAGTGGATTCACTGGAAGAATTCGAACATAATATCATGGGTCAAAAGTGACTGGGAAGCTGATGAACATTGTTATTGGGCGAAATGTGAAAGAAACAAATCAGGCAAACTGTTTCATGTAACAGAAAGAATGAAATGGCTAAAATGTGAAGAGAGAAGCAGTAAGCATTTTGCCAAATGGATGAATTCGGCTAATATTAAGCAATGTGTGCACATAGATAACCACCGGAATAAGTGGACCGAGTGGCAAAATAATAAGAAGACGCTGTTTGAGATATGGGAAGATTTCTTTATTGACAAGTGAATTAATGAAGAACAGTCGCTTCCGTGGACCTTAAAGTCACAATCAAATTAATTATACGGCATGAGTGCATCCTTCCATCTGTGATATGTAATATGAAACCTTTAAGAGAACTTGATCATCTGCAGGAAAAATGAATTATACCCCATTAACAGCGTCTGTTATGACGTAATAATAAGAGAATATGTTATCAGGGATGTAAATAGAAGGGATCACACTGAAGATGTAGCTCATTATGGTTCACATGACCGTCTCTACGTGCATCTGGAGGGGGAATATTGCCGCAGATATATATATATATATGTAGATATAGATGACACGATAACCTTTTTTTAGACTTAGCTACTGCTCTAATTATATTAACAATTCTCCAGAAGTTTGCACAATATTAATGTATCATTCGCGGATGCCCCTAAAGGATAATTATGTTACATAATACTTTAAATTATTAGACAGTGAGTTAGTGCAAAGGATTATATCCTTATAGTTTAATACAAGATCAGACATATTTTGTAATATTCTCATTTTCATTATCACGCAGCATGTTAAACTTTCTGTTAATTTTTAATATTTTAGATAATTATAGTATTTAAGCTGATGCATAATGTGCTATGTCTACTAATTTAATATATTTTGGTTTCGTCTTATTGTCAATAATGAGAAATGTACTATGAAAATAGCATTTGGCACTATTTTCTGCAGGCACTATATCTGTCCACGTGTATATGTGAATAGGCGTATATATAAATTATATAGCTATATGAGCGTTATAGATAGATATAATAAGTATTACTATTTCTTTTTGTTTCGATAAAGTCTATTTAATGACTATTATTAAGAATGGTCAACCTGCAAAAATTAGTTTCAATTAAATTCAATGCAACGCAATTCAATACAGTGTAATGCAAGTGAATTTTAAACATTTTCCATTTCAAATTTTCACCGGAGGGGTGGGGAAAAATATCAAATTAAAAACCCTATTTAAGCATAACTTAAAAGTCTCAATTAGGGGAATATTAATATATAACAAAATGGAGGTTTTAGAGCCAGGGCGTTCGCATACAGTCTATTATTTTCTTTCCTTTGTTAGTTTCCTCAAGATTCGATGAATTCATTTGAAAAACAAGAAGTAAAAATTTCATCAAAAAAGATAAAAAAAAAGAAGAAAAAAAAGATTGTACATTTAAATTATATAATTTTGACATAATGGGAAATGGAAATATTTTTTTTCATAAAATTCGAACAATATATGTATGTAACGCGGGAGTATATAAAATTCTTTGTCTCGATTTGCGCGAGCATTCTTTTAAAGAAAATGGGAAAAGAGATATATGATAAGTACGCAGATAAATATTGTAAGAAATGGAGTAAAGAATAGTTTTAAAGAAATTATAATTAAGGAGAAAAATTAGATGACATACAAAGAAAAGGAAGAATTCTATTTTTTCCGTGAAATTTATTTCTTCAAAGTTTACGTAATTCATACTTTTACTCCTTAGAATTGTTCATGTTTATAAATTTTTTCGAAGATGGTAATGGTTTATAAATTTTCATTTATAATGCATTTTCTTCACTAATCTTTAGCAATGAAATAGAAAAATATATAAAATTGGTACTCATAGTTGTACCATCCACTATTGTTTTCATGAAATAGTATTTATCTTAATATACTATTTAATAACTGTGTTCTTTCATTTTATTTACATTCCCATTTAACAAATTGAACGAACAAGAACGATATGTGGTAAAACAGCAAATTGACAATGGTTCGATTGATTAATTATAATATCATCATCCCGTCCTATTTTTACTTTTATATATGAAAATTTCAGATATATGAATACTTTTGAATAGTTTTTCTCAGTTCTTTATTTTTATAATAGAATTGCTGTCCAAATATCCTTTATAAATACTTTATCTTTTTTACAAATTAATATTTCGTAGCCTTAATTAATATCTATGAGTGAATTTAATTATATCTCCTAGAATGAATAAATAGAAGAGAAAATTCAAGCTTTCCGTATATTGTTATCGTATGTATTTGATTTACCTACTAATGACACTTTTAACATAAATTTAATTATATAATCGTTAGAATTAATATATTCTAAAGAAATATTTTCATTATATTTTAGTTTTTTCCATTTATTTGTTTATATTCTAATGGAGTATATATCTTCTTACTACCTAATTTATTTACTTGTCAAAACAGATACTAAGAACATAAGGGGAGAATGCCAACAGTTACATTAAGGTCAATAACCATGATTCCGCATTTGAATGAAGAGTATTAGAAGTTTTAACTATCAGATGGATTTTTTTTCCTTATAACTAGAGTACCCAAAGGAGATGAAGTCAAGTAGTGGTGGAGATGGAATAACTGACAAGAAGTTTTCATTCTCAACGTTAAAAGTGGATAGAGGTGACATCCTATTTTGTGTTAGTACATCATTTGTGAAATTGTGTGCACAGTGGGTCTTTTTAATTTTTTCTCTGTACATTATATTGAAACACTTTTTTCCGGTAAGAACAACCTGCCCAGATAATGATACCCGTGAAAATTTTGGTTTATTGTGCAATGGAGTCCGATTATAATTTTGCGTATCCCAATATGTACCTCTATATATGTATATACCTGCCTGTGGATATACCTTCTTAGGTTGCTCTTTCATTCCTTTTTTTTTTATTTGTTTTTAGTCTGTATTCAAAAAATTCAGTAACGAACTGGACAAGAACACCTTAGATTCGATAAAATATGCACAGGGATACCTAGGAAAGTGGGAAGAAGAGAAAAGTACTAAATTAAAAGATCAAGCAGACAATGTGTTTGAAGATGCTCTTGAGGAATTATGTACAAATGCAAAGCAAATAGAAGCTCGTGGAGAAAGTATTCCTGTCGAAAACGCAGCAGATAGCCATAAGGGAAGAGAATATGAAGAAGGAAAATGTGATAATCGAAGTAAAGAACATAAAACAGATAATGTAAATATGAATACAAATTATAATATACAAAAGAAAGCAGATGCCACCAGTGATGTAAAAGGGACATATAACATTTCTACCGTAGATGGAAAGGATCTGAATAAAAAGGAAAACAGTGATAATAATACTAAGGAAGATGAAGGACACAATTTGATCCTTGAAAGGAGCAACAGCACAGTAAATATAGGAACAAGATATTTCATTGAAAGGGAAGAGACAACCCTCTCTAACATAAGGCAAAACGACGAGAAGTTGAATCATAAGAAGAGGGATGATAGGGATTTAAAGAAATTAGAAGGAAATGTTCCTAATGGAGCGGCGTGTACTATGGAGCTCAAGAATATTACGACTGACGCCAAAAAAGGAGAACAAGCGAGTACTGGTAAACAAGAAGAGGAAGGGAAAAAAGCAGTCCAGGGGGACGAACGAACTAATTATCCAATAAAAAATGACAAACAACAGGATGAAATAACGGGGCCAAGTTATAGCTGGAGGGCACGTACAAGTGGTTATAATAACAGAAGGAAATTGAGTACTAATTCGCTAGATGGTTTACAACAAAAGAATGAAACAGAAAAGAATAAGTATGAATTAAAAGAAGGTGAACAACAAATCCAACATAAATCAGTAGATGGTTTATCAACACTGATTGAGAAGCCTGAGCAGACAGCACTACCAAATAACAATAGGATGGAATTACACCTCAAGCTAGTGAAGAAAGAAATAATGGGGGAGCGAAAAAACCAACAAGGGAAGAAAGAGGAGATCAAACAGCAAAATGCCAGGAAAGAAGAGGCGGAAGGAGACGGAGCAAAAAAGCCCAAGGCGGAAGAAGAAGAGAAGAAGAAAGACAAAACCGAAGAAAAGACAACAGGAAAACCCCAAACCAAAGAAGACAAAACCGAAAGGGAAGAAGCCAAGCAGCATCAGAAGGAAAAGGCCCAAGCCAAAGAGAAAGAAGACAAAGAGGATGAAACAAGACAGAAACCAGAGGACAAAGGCTTAGGCAGGGACGTGAACAGGCAGCCAATGGAACAAATGGACAAATCAAAAAACATAAGAAGAGCAATATCATTAGATACCATTTATAAGAGTGATTTGGAAGCACAGGATGATGAAATTGAGGATGATAAATCTGATGAATGGAAAAGAAACGAGTGGAATAAATGGCTAATTAGAACTGAGGAGGATTGGAAACTATTTAATAAAAGCGTGGAAAACAAAAAGAACAGGTGGCTAGAGAAGAAAGATAACGAATTGGAAGTGTGGCTAATCAATATGCAGGATAGGTGGATGCATTATAGGGAAAATGAGAAGAATGAATACCAATCGGAAGCCATGAAGAACTCATCAAACTGGCACCACACACAATGGGAGCAATGGATTAAGACCGAGGGAAGGAGAAGCATGGAAGAGGATTTGAAGAAATGGTTAAATGATAAGGAGACCTTCTTGGATGGATGGCTTTCTAAAGAATGGGTTCAGTGGAAAGACGGAAGAATGCTTCAATGGTTATCACTTGATTGGAAAAATAAGGAAAATGAGACTTTTGAGCATTATAACTCGAGCGAATTTACAGATGTGTTACATGGAAGAAAGAGGAAGAAATGGACGAAATGGAAAGAAAGGACGAATAAGGAAAAGGAAGAGTGGAATAATTGGGTAAGAGGGAAAGAAAATTTATATGTCAACCATAGGTGGGATAAATGGTTAAAATGGAAAAGGCATAAGCGCGCTTTGTATAGTCCAAAGTTTGTATCCTTCATTAACAAATGGGTAGATAACAAGCAGTGGAAAGTATGGATTGAAGATCAGAAAGCTTCAGCTATGTAGAGAAAGTGATAGAATTATGGAAGTGGTGAAGTTAAGCGATTTTAACAAATGATATTATTTCGTACATCAGGAATTTTGCAGTGGCCTATATGAATCCATAACAAAAAAGAAGATTATGAATGATGAATATGAAGATGCAATGCATAACAAGTATAAGATAGATATTTCTTTCTTCTAGCATTGTTCACGTGTATTTCTTCATAATGTTAGAAGTGCATCAGGAGGAGAAGAATGGGCCGATTGTAATGAAAACAGATTGGAAGAGGTGTTTAAAAATCATGTAGAATAAATAAATCATTCAATAATGTTATGTGCATAGGCAGTTATGTATATGCATATATCGTTCCAAGAGGATTACGCGATTTTCTTTTTCTATTTATCTCTTAACCTTCATTTGTGTTTTTATATGTCGCTCCTATTAAATGCTACATTTCCCCATTTGATATCACCTTAATATTTAAAAAATAGTATACCCATAAATACTTTTTATCTGTCCCACATATTAAACCTAGTTAGTACTCATTAGAATATGATTATTTCTAATGTGTTTTCCTAGGGTATTTGTATATCTTCTATTTATGTCTTCGTATGTGTTTTGCGCAAATTTTTCCTTATGTGCCCGCCCTTTTCTTATTTTTGGTCTCTTAGGGTTAGATGGATGCTTATGAATAATAATCAGATTTCTTTGTTTAGAAGTAGAAACAACAATTTCGTATCTGCAAAGTTTGTGGTTATTCCTGTTATATATATAGTTGTGCCATTATGTAAACAATATATGTACATATATGTATATGCCTACAGGCAGGTTTACTACCTCGTTTAATACTTTATTTTAATATAGCTTGTAAACATAGCTGTTGCTTTCTTATTATTCCTTAGTAGCCACTATATGTTGCCTGTGCATAATGTATCCCTATTGATCTGTTACAAAACAATTCATGATGAGCCCCATATTATTATTAGGTGCACATTGACTTTAAGTATTGATTTCTTTTTTTTTTTTCTTCGTTTAGACAACTATAAATTTGATTATTACCAATAGGCAGTGATTATTATATTTTATTACGTGGCTTTCGCGTCATTGCTGCAACTGATATATTACAGGATAAAGCGTAAGACATTTTATTCTTTATCTTAGGTGAAGTATCGCATTATTCGCATATTATAAATTAATACTCCATCCTCTTTAGTATCAATTTATTTTATAATTATGGTTATGCATAGAATGATTCATTCGCGCAATACACTTCTGTCCTGGTTATATTTCACATATGAAAAGAAGTTTATAAATACAGGAGGACGCAATGGGGAATCCTTTAATGCACACCGTGCATTGAGTGCACACGTTTTGTGCACTTTAATTGTTTGCAATGGTTTTAAATGAGCGTGTCTGCAAATAATTCTTATGAATGAAGAGAATAGACTCATTAGTTTATTCTATGTAATTCAAAGTCCGTTATTTTTTTTCTTTCTCGTAAATATGGTTACTTCAGCAAAAATGAGAGTGAATTCCCGGGCGTACATTTGTGAGCGGAATAATTAGTAATTATTATTATAAAACTTTAAATTAAATATCTATTTTCTTTATTCGCGTGTGTAATTACACCAGATAGCATCGTATACTCGAAGGATGTGCTGCAGTGTGTGAATAATATGAATGAAAAATATAAATCAGGTGTAATTTCAATCGTATCAGAAGGAAAACAATTATGTTTCAGCCGGGCGAAGTAATGGTTTGAAAGGGTTTTATAGTAGTGTTTTCATATAAATAGAATCGATACCACAAAAATATTTTTCTGCAGTGATTTTCATTAAAAATTATCCGTTGCTTCTACATTTTATTCTTCGCGTAATGCATTTTTTTTTTTTACCCAGTGAGCAGTAAATTAACAATTCTCTTTTTAAATAAATGTAGGTTCCTTCTTCCATTGAAACTATATATTTTGTTAAATACAGTTAACGTATATTTTATAATAATGCCATATTAGTAATTAAGTGTATCTTATGGATCGTCGGTGCCTTATTCGGGTTGTCAGTGCGAGGTAGTATATTTTTGCACAAAACTCATGTATCCACGAAGCTCTTATGTTATTATTATATGATGTTATTCACCAGCTGAGATGTGAAATATACACTGGTTAATATGTTCCTTCATGTTTTTTAGTATGATGATTTATACACTCATATAGTGTGTTCTAATCCATGAAATTATGTTAGTATGTTCATCGTAGCCTATGAAGTCTATAAATATAGTGGGCGATGAAGCGTTAGTTAAGATTATAATATGGCTGCGTGAATGTATTATCAAGTTTTAAAATCCTGCAGCAGTGAGATAATATTATGTGCATATTTGAATCAAATTTCGTATGCATTACAGTTGGTAAAATTTCTCTTCCGTTTATAGCAGCAGCATTGGATACGCGACTCTATATGTACGTTTTCATTTTATAGTGCATAAATGGATGTCTGATCGGCGGTCATATGTTGAAAATCATGTGTGACTCCCTTTTTTTTTTTATTTATGTTGACTGTTGCTGATGGTGTTCTTGAGTACCATTTCTTTTTTTATCCTTATTTTAAGCCCTTACCTATATGGATTAAGATGATAATCCTGCGATTGGCAGATAACTCTTTTTTTAGTTTTGGGTTGTTGCCTATATTCCTGATACTTTAACTTTCACGTTAACATGAGATATGTAAGAACAAAATGGTTCCATTTGGGGAGGGTAACAGAAGTAGCAATATTGTGAAAAATGACGCCCCTACTTATTTTTTCCTTTATAATTTTGTCCCTTTCATATTTCTTGAATGAAGTACAAGAATCGAAGAAATTTATACTTACGTGTCATGCCACATGTGCACATCCTTTCTTTTTATATTCTTAGAAATGCGTGAATATTACATATAGTATTATAGGAAAAATGTGCGGTGATGGATTTCAGACGCCTCCGAAATGCGCAAAGGAAACCCTGATGAAAAACACCTGCCGGGTGTTCTGAATTATCAATTATAAATCATGATTACGATGCCATGATAGCATTATTGATCATTAGAGTGCACCTCATGAATTATAACGTTGACGATGCTCCACTCTTTTGTGCTCCATGCTTTATAAAACAACATAGGGACTTACAAATGAATCTTATGTATCTGCAATTAAGCATCCTCTGTTTTTCGCTTTGTTGACGTGTTTTTTACATGTCTATAAGTGAGGCAAACTACGGGGGAGGGGGGAGATTCAATTTATTGTGCTTTACTTCGCTTTCTAAATTCCCCCGGAGGGATGCGTCCTTATGTAGCTATGGTTTCATATTATAGCTGCGCATTGGACTGAAGAGAATGAACTTATTTATCCATTAATACTTGGAGTTTATTATTCTTTCCACAATGGTAGAATCCGCTTTACCAGTAGAATACTGATAAGGAGTCGTAACAACATACTCTAGCCATTGGATGCATATCTCAAGAAAGTATTATTGCATTCTTAAAATATAACTGTATTTGTCTGTGCCAAATCCTTATGTTGTACACAAGAGGGACAGCAGGAGTTGTGGCGCTGGTGTTCATACAGTCTTACACAATTCCTTTTAATGTTTGTTCAAGATGTAGACGGTCTGTTTTGATTTTGAAATGGGCTGTACATTTAAATAAGGGTAGAAGATGGGTCCCTGAATTGAGAAGTACATCTATGGGGGGTTGCAATTACATGCCCATTCCCATATACCTCTCTAGCTGTACCTGATGAGAACAAGGTTTCCGAATCACCTCGGCTCACTAAGAATACCAATGGATTAACATTCCTTTACAGAAATGTCATGTTTAAAGAGGAGTGACCTCTACAATACGTATTAATAAATATTACCTTGGAACAAGGGGCAAATACCTCCCACAGTACCCTGCTTTTAATTCACTCGGAGGCGATGAAGATAGGATGTGTTCACCTGTGAGCAAAGATGGGTATAGAATTGAGGCAACATGCGACAGGAGTGGTCTCCTATGATTAATTATGCACCCTCTAAGATATAAAAATAGAAAAAGTATGATTAGGAGGGTTTTATTAATTAGAAATTATAAAAGGAAGGAACAGGAAAAAAAAAAAGAAACAGGCAAAGGACCAAAGAAGTCGACAAAAAAAAAAGAAGCCAACAGAAGAAAAAAGAAGCCGACAAAAACAAGAAGAGACAGGAAGGAAAAAAAAAGAAAGAAGCAAAAAAAAAAAAAACAGGGAAAGGGAAAAACAAGCGGAGAAAAAAAAAAAGAAACAGGCAGAAAAAAAAAGAAACAGGCGAAAAACAGAAAAAAGAGACATGAAGAAAAGAGAAAAGATCGAAACAAGAAAGAAAAAAAAAAGAGACAGGCAAAAAAGAAAGGAAAAAAAAAAATAAGAGAAGAATTATGATGTGGCATATTTTATTTACATATAACCGGCCCCTTACTGCAGCTGCGTCAATTAATGAGGTTATAAGGGGAAGGGAAACGACATGAAAGAATACCTGCTTACTCATTCTTTTCTGAGGGATGATGATTGATGTGATAATGAAGTAATAGCGTATATGTGTAAATTAAAGCGATCATTTCTTAATGCTCTCCAGTGATTATTAATGTAAGTAAATATTTTTTTATGAATATTTTAGGAGGAAGAAGCCGGAAGGAGAGGCTGTGTTACAGAATTATGTTCGCGGGTCATAGAAAATCGGATTATTTTTCCTAGCTTCGGAGTAATCCACTTTAACCCGTATATTCTGGAAGTCCTTAACCCTAAATTAAAATCGTTTATCTCTGGAGCCTACATAATAGACTGATACATAAGTTTCTATTTTAGGAGGCATTCTTATTTGCCATGTCAGTTTCAGATGTTATGAGGAATGTATATGATTGGAAGGCTCAATGTTTAAAGGAGAAGTTTGACTGGGAATTCTCAGAGACGCGTTTACACGTCATTGTAAGTTAAGGTAAAGACAAGATGAAGTCAAATAAATTATAGTTATGGGTCTTCTGCGTTGTATAGTATAGGAAAATAAACATTATTTTCCTTAGGGGTGTCTATGTCTATGTTCTCATCTTTTCACGCCCCATACGGCTTTTTTATACCTTCCTTTCTGTTTTTGTCCCTTTATAGTTACCGAAAAATGGCATTAAAGCGTCTTATGTCATGGAATAGTACGATGGCGAATATGGGAACATAACAGTGGCAAGAGAAGAGTGTGAATATATTTATGCGCTCAGGGCCCTATCATATCTATATGGAGGATATGTCTTAAGCTAAACAATTACAAAGGAGCGTCCGGAGATTATATATGAGGAGGCTAAAAATTCCTGGGTGAATTATTTAGTTCTGGTCCGGAATAGATCACAAAGGACGAGGAATAGAGAAGGAATGGTAACAATTAGGTTTCGATTCACATAGAGGGCACAGACCTCGAATACAGTAGAGGACAAACAAACCGCAACTTGCATGTTCAGTATAATTGTCTATTACATAGCCCTAAGGAGGAGGTGTATTCAGATTCCTAGGTAACTTCCCCAATTAAAATAAGGAATATGCAAGACAGTTTAGTGTTAGAGTCCAACAGTATAAAAGTGAAAATATTTATTTATCCGGATGGCCGGAATCTGGGAACATTGGAGCTCATAATTCTGATTAACGACATTCAAGTAGCATATAATTAATCATATTGTGCAAAAATAAAGAATGTTCAGGATGTTTATTCTATTGCACTGCAATAATGAGTAAATCATTAAGAAATGATAAACGCGTTTTGAGTAGGGACATAAAACATTAAAACGGTTATTCGATAGGCATGACATGCTAGCATAGGTTAATTCTAATGTAGCATTCTATGTTCATAAGTATGGATAATTTAAGGGAGTTAAAGAATAGCGGCGTATAGGAGACAACGATAGATAAGCCACTGGGTGATACATAGAAAAGAGCCACCAAGAGAGGAATAAAAACCAAATAGGCGGATCAATACAGGGAAAAAGAAGGAATCTGTGCAGAATTCAATATTTGAGATGTGTTCCATTTTGCTCTGCAGGCTCAAATATCCTGCAATGTTTATCTTGTAAGTGCGGTTAATTTTTTTACATCGTTCAAAAACAAAAAAAGGAAACCGAACCTTCATGAAAAACCTTCCAAGGATGTTTTTCTCTCATAGATAATTTTTTCATATGTTTTCTTTATCAAGGATGTTTGTATTCATTATATTCTAAGATAGGAATGCATCAATATATAGTAGAAATCTTCTCTATATTAAAAATCATTAGATATTTCTGCATTAGATTATGATGCCAAAGGGGGCGAATGCACGAATTCGGGAAATAATCCGGGAGGGGGGCCTGCTGCATATTGTATATAACCTTGCTTCTTCGACATTTTCATCTATAGATGGTGATCACAGGAGTATATATATGCATATGTGAATTTATGTACATATACATATGAGGATTATAGGATTATCATTAGGTACATACCAGAATTATCTATATTTTGAGGAATTGCGATGAAGCGGTTGGGACACCTTGATGTCCCCGAACATGTTTTATACGCCGTAACAATGCGCCTTTTTAGAATGTAATATTAATTTTGTCCATTGGGTAGAGTTTACAATGAAATCCTATTCAAATGCGTCTGTTATTGATTTTTAGGTTATTTTTCTTGGGGCTTCGTAGTTTTTTTTTTCTTGTTCTGTGTTCTTCCATAGTAACGTCGTGATTTTTCTGTGTCTATTTTTTAAAGGTCAAAAATGCTTTGGAAAAGAAACTGCCTAACTAGCAACCCAAATTCAAAAGGATTAATCCTTCTATTGTCTTGAACTAAGGACTATGGTAGAATGAATAGTCAAATACTGTTACACAGAGTATTCAGAGTAGGGGCAGCATACAGTACGGTTACAACTACTAGGATAAGAAAAATGAATAAGACAATACCATTAAGAAGGGAGAGGGGCAAATCATCATAGTTACCTGTTGTTACAAAGATGGTCCCTGCAGGTGAGTAAGTAAAGGCAGTCATACCAATCTTTTTACGGAAGACATGGATGAATCCAGTTACCCCCCATGTTATAGCACCGGAAATTTAATAATAAAATTACGAAGACAAGTATGGAAGAATGAATCCTAAACTAGAATTATGCGCCCCCTATTGCACAAATAGAGGATTGAGTAAATTTGCATCAAGGGTTGTGCAGGAATGGATGATTCATTAGAATGAGAAAGAAAGTATGAAATGTGTAAAAAGTCACTTTATAAGTAATAATTAAATAATCGTTTGCATAATTATTTTTTAGAGAGGAATAAAATTCATTCATGTGGATATCCTATTTTCTAGAGGAATATAGATAGTGAAAAATGCAGGATTAGAAATTACACATGATATCCAAATACGGATGTAATAGTCGTATATATTAATGCATAGATTATGTACAACTATAACAAAGTGCCTCCTCTTGATGAAGTAATAAATTGGATAAAGGGGAGTAACCATATGAGGCCAACTAATTACAACTCATTAAGGATAATATGATATTCCCGTAAAGTGATCTGTGCCAAGCCTTTATATATTAGTGTCTATCCGGAGGCGTCGCCTAAGATGTCGCCAGGTGTAACTCCAGCAATAGTCGCTGATTATATACGGATCAGATGAAGTAAATGCTATTAGAAGGATAACAAATGAATGAGAGAGGGTCATTTAAACAGTGCTCCAATGTGCACAGAATCATGACATGTAGGAAGATGTGTTAAATAGTTGATAATGAATACATTTCAAAAGCCTAATAAATATAAGGGATTTGAGTCAGTAATTGAGGCAGGGTTCTAAATGTGTATAGACTACAAACCTTATAAGGAGAAGGATAAAGTAATGATCGTATATTACAGGACAAGTATCCAGGTAGTAACAGGGGAATGAAAAGAATACGATGAGAGTTAAAATAAAGTAAGAGATATATGAATATTTATAATAGTATATCCAAGCCAAAGTAATATAGATCGCACTGAATTCTAGGAGAGTCCAGAGAAATAGAAATCAAAGGAATTGAGGAGAGTTTATTGTCTTCGCTGCACTAAGATGTAATATCCTATAAAGGCTTCTTGTGAATTTATACCTACAGCTATATAAAAATTTTAGATAAGTTTCTTTAAATTTATGTTGAACTATAGCAGCTATTATAATAGTTATCCTGTCCAGGAAAAGGAGGAGCGGAATTTCTGTGGGAAATATAGGATGCCATAGAAAATGTAGCTAGAATGACCTTAGAGTATTCTGTCTCATTGTATCGTATAATATAATTAAGCAAGTATTCATTGTGAAAGGATAAATCAGATTTGCTAACAACTTTGGCTTGCGGATTATGGAGCATATCGTATATCTATTGTAGCTTAAATTAGAGAGTTAAAGATTAAGATTTCTGAATAGAATGTACAGAGATGATTCAATGTCCAATTTACTGCATTTCTACTGGCATCACAGGAAAGAAATTTGACATAAAAATTTATGGTCTTAAAGGACTTTCTAAAATATGTCTATGAAGAGTCGTCTGAGAAGTAGGCGCAGGTATTGGAGGATACTGGAAAGCAGCCAGTGTTATATGAGTTAGACCAAGTTAACCTGACATACCCAGGGTTTATATGAATAAGTCACAGATATATAATAGAAAGTAACAGGCCAAATTATCTTATAAACAATAATAAAAATACAAATACAAACCTTCAGGTGCATGAAACAGAGGAGAATATTACTGAGAAGAAGAACATGAATGAAGGAAGAGAAAGAATAATCCCAAATTAAATATTATAGGAGAATATATAGACACAAGGAGGCAGAAGAGTCGGAAGAAAAGAATGATCTAGTAACCTAAGCTACATGTATATATATGGAGGAGATAGGAATGTATCAGCAGCAGTCTAAGGGAACCCTCGGTAAGGCACTTCAAAGCAGTCCAATCCTGTTTAATGATGTATCTGATATTATATAAATCCCCTAACTAAGAGAAAAGATATCAATGAAACAGGAACCCAAAAAAGGACATATATTCCTAGAAGAAAGCCTAAAGAGAAGGTAATTCATGACAAGCAGTTTTTAGAAGGAGGAGGTCATCCAGGAGTAGAAGAATAATTCTCAGTATGTATGTAGTATCAGCGAACTGAAGTCCTTTTGATGTCAGAATTAGCAGAGAAAAAGAAGATGATTAGACCAATGCAGACGCGTGTATAGCAACAAGATAGATGGGAGTTGAGTATTTCCCTAATTAGAAGAGCGGGTGAATATCTAAACGGGAACAGATTAAGAAAAGTCTAACGGGCCTTACAGAAGTACACCGGATAATGAAATCAAAAACTAGATCAAGCCGTACCAAGGAATTCGAATCGCGATGGACCTTTCTAGTGAAGAATGATACGAAGGGACAAACGGGGCAACCAGCCAATACACTACAATATAAGGACAAAAGGACAAGTGCAGAAACCCCTAAAAGGAATAGAGATGATAATATCGAAGGAGCATCAGGAAGGAGGATGGATAAATAACACCCAGCTGGACCCAAAGAACAAATCGGTTACTAACGGAAGATAAGGAAAATAAGCCAAGCCTTAGACTAGCGGCAAATTCCGCGAGTATTAAGGAATTGCCCTTCCTGCTGATTGACAAATCCCACTCAAGAGATCTGTTAACAGCCCGAACCGTGACTTACAACATCCCAGCATTGAATCCAAGCGAGTCAAACCAAAGGACGCCCAAACCCCAGAACCTATCAGTGGAAACCACGGCTGAAGAAACCCGGCGTAATTAAATGGGAGCGCTCCCCCCAGACAATCCACGCAAAACAAGACAATCCAGAATAAATTAACCCGCGTAAACTGGCTAGATAGGAGACGAGGAGTATACAATATCAGTCCCATTATCTGAGTCAAACTTAGGGTACCGTATAAAGAATACCAGCAGTACTATCGAAAGATTCTCCCTAATGAATCTCCCCCAAACGGAGGTATATTCATCATTCGTAAGTCCCATTAAAATCATCTATATAGCAGAAGAATCTTTGAAACTCGTTCAGTATCCAAAAAGTAAGGATTAAACAAACAACTGAGCAATACTGACTAGAAGTGGGAGGTCAAATCCTAGGGCAGAATCTTTCTGAGGCCAGACCGAATAGATGAGTCGAGAAAACAATTAAGGAGAGATAAAGTCACCAGGATGCCGAAAGGTAGCAACCCAATTCATATAGAGAGGGGCAACTATACTAATAAGGAGAGTTCAGAAGATACGCATTCGCCCCAGAAGGTACAAGTAAGATTGAGGTATATCAAATATCCTCCCCAATCGGATCACCTCGATAGAGGAAGTGATTAGAACAACCACAAGCACAAATTATATCACTATTGCCGTTGCAGCATAAATACTACCCGAGTGAATATACCCGGAGTCAAAAATCCCTCTGAATAACCCAAGTGAAGAGGACTGAATACCCCAAAATATGAGAGCAATTCCTCCCCCACTAAAATGGCATGATCCCACTCCTGCAAAATCCCTAAGAAATCAAAAACAGGCCCAAGATAACACAAGAGTAAGTTGGAACCGGCCTCGCACCCCTAGAAGATAAAAACTACGCGACTTCAACATGTGAATAGAGAAGCCCATAAGCCAGATGACATGTTTCCAGATATGCATCAAGGCTAATCCACTCGGCTATTATAAGGATGGATAGCCCAAATCGAAAATTAAGGGGAGAAACAAAACCTCCCCCAACAAGGTAGAGGGAACGCCTAAAATATATCTGAATGGGCCTAAGTAGTGCCGAGCATTATCGCAATAAAGTTAGTTAACCCAAGCAAACACAGGGTTCAAGATAAAAGTGCCACTTCGCAGGACTTGGGCGGAGAGTCTAGACTCCTAATTCACCTCACAGACGGCCATTCTAAGAGGACGCAGAAAAGTATGACATGATTCCGGGGCCCCACCTGAGGAAGCCTTGATAATAGGAGGAGGAAGACCCACTAGATCTCTGGAACCAGAAGAAGAAGGAAGGATTTTTAGGCATGAACTCGCCTAAAAATGCCAACTGGCAATTGGATGATTGGAGTTCAGCCGGAGATAACTGGGGCTATCCCCCCCAAGAGGAGGCTACCTGTGGGGGGAACTCAAGATCCCGATATTGTTATCCCCGGTTAATAAAGGCAACAGGAACCAAATGGAATGGTCTGAGTCAGTGGTTGAAAGAAGAAATATTAGGAGAAGTCTCCTCGAAATGGTCAAGGGATTTCCAGTCTAATGTCAAAACATGCCTGAAGGACAATGACAAATCTCCCTTGGATTGGGGTCAAGTACTCGATAAAGTGATAAATCAAATCCAGGACGATATGGTAGCCGATGTATCCGAAAATAGCCGGAAACTATTAAGGACCCCCATGGAATGGTACGAAGTCTTGAACAGCAGCAGTAGTCTAAATACGCCTTGGAACCAAAGTGATGTTGGTCGAGGACTTCTCATAGCAGTAGTATGTATCTTAACAGGCTTGACCAGTACCCGACAACACGAGAAGGAAAAATATCCAGGGAGGGACGAATTATGTGACCAAGTGGATCGGGCTCTAATGGTCAATGAGGGACAATGGAAACGGTGGTTGGGGGGTCAGGCACAGGACGCAAGAGCCGGAAGGCCTGACTGTGGACGACCCCAAGGTTCTAGAAGATGTATAAGTGGGAGTATGAGTCTAGTATTGACAATATATAGAAGTTTAGCTAGTCTTTGTCCAAACTGTGGGCCCTATAGTATCGCTCGGTGGGTTGATGAAATTCAGCCCAAGGGGATCAGCCAAGGAGAACAATATTGTGAAGTTAAAAAACGGGTAATAACTTGTGATAAAGCCCAGAACAGACCTTGGAACCCCGGTGATTTAAGAGTGGTCCCAGAGAAGGACAGAAGAAACATCTCATTAGATCCTAGATGGGCCCAATCCGTGGATAACACAGGAATAAACAACCCTCTAAGAACAGCCAATCTCAAGTCGTCAGACCAAATTAGGTCCTCCGTCCACGCAGATCAAACGCCATCCAAACAGCAGGTAGGACCTCTCACCACAGGACCATCCCCCCCCGTGAATAGCCCTGATCCACAACCTCAATTGCCCCGGAATGACGTAACTTCCGTCATAAACGAGAAGGCGCTGGACCCCCCTAGTATGGGTCAGACAACATCATCAATGTCAGCGTCTGTCAATGGAAAGCAGGAGAACAGCTTAAGTCAAAAACAACCAGGAGCAGGCAGCGGCGGCACAGGAGGCCAGACTAGTACTCTGCGGTCAAATTTGGCAAAACCGGATAGGAAACGGGATGGATCGGACATTCTACCCGAAACCAACAAGGAGCAGAACAGTCTGACTACCCCTCTGGTGGGCCTAGTGGGTGGGGTGTTAGCAGTTATTTTACTGGGGGTGGCAAGCGCCTATGGAATCTTTCGGATTTGCAGGAGGAAGGTGGGCAGTAAATCAAAGGGGGATAGGATCAATATATCAGTCCTTCCTGTTCCAACATAAAAGAGGGTTGAGGTTTAGGTTGAGGGTAAAGAAATGACTCATAAAATTCTGACCTTGCCCCAAAGAAAACTTGATAGAATCGTCTAAGAAGTTGAACCCCCACCCTAAGTGTGCAACTGGGTGCACTAAGGGGTTCTGCCCCCCCTAGGATGACCTTCCTTCAATATGTTAGTTATCCCCCAAACAATATGTTATGTGTTCAAATGAGTCCAGATTAAGTCTACATTGTGTTAGAATGTGTACCACCTCCCATTTTATGAGTCTATTTTTGTGTCCATTATTAGTCAACACCCCATTGTATGAGTGTTAGAGGACTTAGATTGACCCAAATTAGACAGTCAATAGAAACATTCTAACCCCATAATTATGGATGAGGATGCGTCTTAGACAAGGAGGAATACATCTATGAGTCAATCTATGAAATCAACGAACTTTGACCTCGGGGGTGTTGGGATGTCCATTCCTTCTAAGGAGTGGTAACAAAGAAGTGACCATTAACCAACCAGAAAGGGTCAGATTTCGGACTTAGAGGAGTTGTCATTTTATCATCTAGGATTGATCTGTCCAACCCGAAAATAGGAAAACCACCCCCTGAAAGGGTGTCTTTTTCCTTAGTAGGGTCAATTAAGTACCCCCAAGAAAGGGTGTTGTCTTATAAGTAGGTTATAGGAGTACCACCTTAAAAAGGGTCAACTGGAACAATCATTTCATCAACCATTAGATTTGTTCTATGTTTCAATCTACCATTATTAGTACCGTTATGAAAGTAGGTAGTCCATGAGAAGTTGTTTGTGTCAAAGTTAAAGTGACCATTATATCGACCCACCCAACCAGTATGAATAGTAAGGGGGACTAGACTTACAACCATGGATTAGACAACATGAGAAATTGTTTTTTGTCAAAAAATTGGATGAACCCCGGATTTAGGTTGACCCTTGAGAGGGTTGTATTGGAATGGCATGTGTATAAATTGGAAAGCAGAATTTGACATCAAACTATATAAAGAATGAATAGCCTGTAGACAGATTATTAGGCCTAAGAAGGGGGTGTTGTCAATAAGGATTGGACCCATGAATTAGGATAGAATAACACTATATAGGATGTTAGAAAGAGTCATTTTGGACTCCCCCTGTCTATAGTGGTGTGATTAAGCGAAAATTAGGAAGTTGTCTGACAATCGAATTTTACCCCCCCCAGAAACCACCCCAACCTAAGTCGTGGTATTAGACTAGTGGTAAAGGAGTCAAAAAAAAAAGTTTCGAAATTCGGGTTTAGAAAGGTTGAATCATCATTAGACACGTATATTATGAGTTTTTATACGGGTTTCGAAGTGATATCTGGATTAGGTGGAAAAATTTGAGGGGGTCATAACATCGTCCTATATTATAGGGGAAGGACTATGATGAAGAAATCAACCTTCGTCTAACAAGAGTTACCATGACAAGGATGAGTAATCTGCTACTGAATTAGTGAATCGGATGGAAAAATTGTTCTAATTCCGGATTTAGAGTTGTCTTTTGTTTATTGTCTAATGAATCAACCATTATTAGAAGTTGTCCTTCAGAAGTGGGAAGAAGCCGTAGTAAGGGGGGAGGTTTCCTTTGGTAAGAGATGACATCCTCCTACATTATTGAACTTGGACAGATTAGTTCTACTGTGCAATTGAGTGTACATGGGTTCGATTCCCAGAAATGACAATATTTCTACCTAAGAAAACATAAGTCAGGTAAGGAAGTCAACCCCTGGGAAGAAGTGGGTGCCTTCCCCCCTTGGAATAGGAAGTAGCTTTACAACATGGACAACCATTAGACAGAGTTGTGAATTGTCGAATAGGAGTTGTTAGACAAGGATTGTAATGCAATCTAGATTTGTCCTAAGGAATTAGGTTGAAACAATTAGGATGTTGGATATGGATTGGACAACCAACTAGACTCCTTCTATGGAGAAGGATGAAGTAAGTAGTCCATCTTGGAAGGGGTTGATTGACCCCCCTTGGAATGTCATTACAACCATGGAATTAGAATTAACCTAAATTAGACAGTCTATAAGAAGTGAATCAACCCTTTATTTTAGTAGCGTCTTCCATCTAAAGGGGTCTATACCGTCCTTAGGGGAGCGGGTGGCCATTAGAAATTAGAATAACCCCCAATTGGAAGTTGAACAACAACATTAGACAACACTTCGGATCCAGGATTTAGATTGGATTAGAACAAATTAGAACAGATTAGTGTGTTGTAAGTCAGGGTTTAGGGGGTCGAACAACAACGATTAGGATTAGTCAACCCAGGTAGTAGCCTTGGACAGGTACAGTATTAGGAAGGGGTTGTGACAACATGGAAGTTGCATTTAAGGTTGTGGACTAACATTTCGGGTTTTTAGCTAACGGGTAAGGTTGAGGAACTCACAAGCAATATT